GAATTTTTTATTATTAATAAAATTAAAGCTTCCATAGGAAAATGAAGACGAAGTGATGAATATCGTCATTAACTAGAGCTATAAATAGCATGAATGATTTACATTCTAGGACAAGGGTGTCTAGGATTCGCTTCGCACGTGTTACAATAGTTTGATTATAGAAAAAGGAAGCAGCCAATATAGACGTAATAAAGTTAGTAAACGCGTTAGAAAAGTTTGGCCATTGCGTATTGTCGAAATGCAGTGATTCCTCTATTACGTCATACACGCACTAATTGAGCGTCAGCGTAAAATAGCATCATAATGCTGCTGTATTTCTTATGGTTAGTGATGAGCGGAGAGAAACAGAGATCCTTTTTATTAGTAATAATGTCCTCCAGAACGAATTTCGGTCACAGCGGCCAGCCTCAACGGAGATTAGCAATCGGCGCAGGACAGGATTATAGTGCCCAAGTGTATGCGCAAGCACAGGTGCACTGTCTATTCCTTTACTCTCATAGTCCGATGGGACGGTAAACCGATACGACTGGAGAGAGATCAGGCGCAGGACCAACGGCATTACGTGCTTTCCAAGGCACGGGAGTCAGAGACCGCCAACTCCGGGCAGCTACTAAGAATTACTTAACGGAAAATCATTAACTGATATTTTTGACCCGACCCGGGATTCGAACCCGGAACCTCATGATCAGCAGTCGCACTACTACAACCACTAGACCAACGAGGGAATCAGCTTTTCACTAGTAACGGCGTGTAGGCACCACATACCATCTGATTAAACTAGGATGAAAACTGAGTACTACTACTAATCAAATAATAATGTAAATGTCGCAGCATCCACTTACCATCAGGTGGACTGTGTGCTCGTTTGTCACACTAATTCTATAAAAAAAAGATATCACGCTAGGCGTATTGTTGCAAAGCTGATACGCTCGCAGCGATAGCTTTAGAAATTGATTTTTTATTCAATAGTAAAGTTATTTTCCAATTTAATTTATCCTTGTTACAGAAAATACCTCTTTTCTGGTATCAGCTAGAAACCTTATTGAGACAAATAAAATGTATTTCATGCGTGTGCGCCTCAACTGTTCTTAATTTAATTAAAACATACCCATATATAAAGCTTATTGAATATAAGTACTCCACTGTAATAATACAGTTTTATTTTTTAAGAAAATCGGTGTAAGTATGACAATATTTTTGTTTAATTTTTTTTTATTTGACATTTTCTTTGTTGGCTTATTTGTTTTTTTTTTTTAATTTGAGATTAAATGACAAAATGTCATTTATACATATTTACGTTCCGAAACATCTCATAAGCTTGTTTCTTATTAAATTCGTAAGGGATTATGAAATATTTCTACAGATGGTCCAGCTGTAGTAAATATAAACCTGTTCGTCAGAAGTATTACCACCATAAGCGACATAAAGATGGTTAGTACATGCCCAGGAATCAAACGATCAAGATAGGTAGACGTACGAAGTTCGTATAGCTTGAGGAGAGGCGGCCATCAACGCAAGTTCATTTATTAACGTTTAACTTTTAATGTTCAATTAACATTTTGTTGAAAAATAATAACACCAGAAATGAGCTTTCGTTATGTGATGGCGCGAAAACTCCTTAACCATGTCCTAGAATTATTAACACTAGTGACAGGAATGTGAAAGTGAAGAATTGCCTAGTCAAAACAAAATTCCTACATTATTTAACCGGCTGTTGTTGAATTACCGAAAATCATGATTGGCATAATAATAATAGTTGTGTGACTCTAGATTACTCAAACCTTTTAATTGTCACTATAGTTAATATTAAACGACACTGTAGCAGAACCGTAGGAAGTTAATGTCTCCCGTTATATTTTACTTTGCCTTAGCAAAGTTATGTGCATTCTCCAGCTTTTAAGACGTAATTGTCATTGCAAACTAATTGGCCAACGTATACAGATATAAGTTTTTAAACTTAATAATAAAACTGACGTTTTGTACGCCTTAAAAGTTGAATGGGATGTGTGTTACTCGCGAGAACACATTTTACGGCCTGGTGGATTTAAAAAAAAAAAACCGCTCGAGTGCGCGGATGTTATCGTATTATACAGTTTTGTTTTTCTATTATACCAATATTTATAAATGTAAACTTTTTCATACAAAATACCCAATGATAATAAAATAATAATCCTACTTGGTGTGATAATTATTATTATAATAAATGATTAAAAAAAAAACAAAAGCAGTCATAAGGACTGCCAACAGAAGTGAAAACTCAATGATATATGCGTGCAATACGTCACCGGCATGTCGGGGTCATCGGTGACGCGAACCCATACGTTTTTCTCCTACCAAAAATGCGCTCAATGCGTCTCTAAATAAGTTTTCATTTCAATAACAAAGTGTCTTTCTTATTTGTTTGGAGATATATTCAATCGTTAACTGTCAAAGAAAACTTATCAGTGCACTGAATCAGTGGTGTTGAAAGAACCTAATCGACTAAAATACAAGTATAATGGCGCCTAATCGAAAGAGTATAAAATATGACAGTCACTATCTTTGAAATTAGTCAGCATAAAGCCGTGATATTGAAAAATCAACGCTACAACGCCACTCTTTAATATGTATTGTATTAGTGTGTTAACTTAACCAACAGTTATAACCGCACGTCGACTAACCAATGAAACGTCTGCTTTTACGTAAAACGTGATAAAATACTTAAAATTAGTTTTATTAAATCAAAGATATTCTATTGATTTGTTTAAATATAGAACTAACTTGCCTTTTTCTATATCGGCCCATAAAGGTCCACAGCTAGACTTGGGCCCCTCCCTTTCTAGGAAGCAATTGTCTTAATTGTCACTCTTAGGCAGATGATCGATTGCAGCGCCAGACGTCTCGCATCTTTGATGCTGCCAGTCACCGGTCTGGTATTGTACGTTATGGTTATACCGCGTTTTCCTGTTATTACCCATGGTGGTATCTTACGATATACGGTATAAATGGGGCGATGAACGCCGCCATCACACGTTAAATTTTACCTGTTAATGTCATATTAGATTAAAATTAATAAAGATGGCATTTACACACGTTTAAATTTTAGAGGTTTATTCGTTTGAAATGTCGAGAGAATCCAATGGTTTCAGTTATTCCACCTATTCACGATAGTACGTATTTTTATGATATTGTAATAATAGAATACCGATGATAATAATCATTTTGGACACTAATGGTTAACTCAATTTCTATTAATTAATTTTCCATAAACCTTTACTTTTATGGGATTCGCAAAAAACTGCTGCTTTTTTGAGCATCACTATTAATTTACCTTATTGTAAGATTAATTATCGCAGTATTAATTAATTAATTTGTTAATCCATATAAGGTAAATAATTAATAATTAAGTTAGGTCATATAAATCCACATTTGTAAAATGTAGATTACTAAATATAATATTTTAGATTATAATACAGATATAAGAGCACTAGGCATAACCTAATTTTTTAATAAATATATTATGACAGTGATAAAAAATTAATTTGAGCCGATACATAATTATTAAAAACTTAAAAGTAGTTATAAATTTAATGATATAATAAATTATTGGTTATTAACACAAATGCAACAAATTATTCCAGAAAATTTATAAAAATTATTAAAAAAACGTATTAATTAATTTTTAAATATGTATAAGTACAGATTGTAGTACATTTCATCTATTTTAATTTTGAGAATTTGAGATTTTTTTAAGTCATGCGTACTAACTCAAGTTAAATCAGTTAAAAATAACGAGTGTTAAAAAGTTTAAATATTGATATAATATAGCCATTATAAAAATCTTTTAATTTTGCAGCTAATTTTGTTTTTGTTCATGAGAAACAGTCTTAAAGATTGAGTATATTTTTTAAAGTAAGTTGACCTTTAAGGCATCTACACTAACACAAATTCCTTAAACAAGTCAAGTTGCATTTCACTTTGTTTTCCGATTCCAAGCTGATTTTTCTTTTGCTCTCCCATAAGTATTTCGCCTAACGTCAATTAATTTGAGTTTTATTTCATTTGTTGTGTACGTTCATTGAGCCAACGTCCACAAATGACGGGTAAAGATAAACAATGCCTAAACATAAGATTTTCAGGTTCAAGGTGAGTCGATCGTATACCAATCATTATTTTCAGAGTCAACACCTCGCGAACCATAGAGAATGTTTCCTCCATTAGGGCTTAGTTTTAATCTGTGATGTAATATCAACCATATATTTTGCTTGGTACTTAGATGGGCCTGCGGTAGTGAGCGTGAATATATTTGTCAGGAGTATATCAAAAATCGATGATGTCACAATGGTAAGTCAACATGTACCGACTGGACCATACCACGCATCTAGACTAAGTTACAGTATGACGTTTTTTCTTCTCCTTTACAAAGCGGTTGCGGTTTTCCTAACAAGTCAAATGAATGGGCAATTCCCTCCATTTTTATGACGGAGTGATTTACCCGGCTGTATGTAATGTTCGTTTTTATATTTTCATTTTCTTTGACTTCTTCCCTTTGGTGTTGACGACCAAAATCGTTTTTAAACTCGCGCTTTTTATAGGTATTGTTTGACTCCAGTGATTGAGTATGGCGGGTTAAATTTATTAATTTTAAACGTTAGCTTCTATCACCTCGTCGGTACTGTCCGATAGTGTTTACTTCTTAAGCTCGAAACTACTTTTTTTTTTAATTTTCATTCTTACTTTTAGACTGCCTGCTTTTTACAATGTGAAGGGGCTTTCGATAGTGAAATCGAAATGATTTTCGTACTTTGCTTTAGTTATTGAAACTAGACATTGTATTTATCTTAATTGCTCGGCTCCATTTCATTTGAAGTAATGACATCTGACATTAATCCATCTATATACGTATTGTGTTCACGGTTGGTAGGAATTTAGATTAGTGCTAGATTTGGTTTTAGATAGGTCGTAATGTTTAATATTAAAAAGCGGTCGTATAATTTAAAATTGTTTTGTTTCTCACTAAGGCGATGCGCCAACGATAGTGCGTGTCAACATGTTTCTTCGATCCATCAGCAAAATAGATGATTACAAAATGGTGAGTGGCTGCACATAACCGATTAACAAAACAGATCTATCAGATGACATTTTTATTATAAACCAAAGTTTTTTATTTTTATTATCAACGGGCATTTGTTGTCATCTAGTTGAAACTTTGTTTATAATAAAATTGGACATTCCGATCGAGTGGATATCTGGCAATACTTGCACTGCTAAACGTACTCAAGCTATCGTAAATGTGTTTGTAACTTTTGTTTTATTTACGATAATTTCTGTTTTTCTGTTTGTTTATTTTTTTTTTGTATTTTTAATTCACTATTAACCTGTGAATGACCATTTTACATCCACTTTTATACTCAAATTATCTAAACATTTATAAAAGTGGTTGACGGCGGTGCGGTGCCGCGACGCTCTTCTTACCCTTTCAATTTATTAGTGCGACATTAGTCTTTATATACTTTAAATACTTCTTAAAAAGAGTAAGAACAATAGTTTTAAAAACTTATTTTTCCTTAGTTTTACTTTTAGTTTTTATATTTTGTAAAAATTATTTTATATTTATTTTCAAAAAGCACTTCACGACGTCCGTGCCCTGTGAAAACACCTGATGGATTATTGGAGTAGTACATAGATAGCACAAAATTATTGCAACGGCTTCAGATTCGGCAATATAGATAGTTGAACAGTTCGTGTATTGGATATTTGCGCACATTTACGTTCAAAATTAAGATATGTACCGCCCTAACGGTATACGATTGTGAAATAAACGCTTCATAGATTAGGCGACATGGGATATTCGCGGCCCGCACCCATCTACATCATTTCATTTTCTTTTATATTCCGTTTTTTTTTTATTTTCCCGATCATGCTTCCTTTTCTGTCACGCATTAATTTCATCAGGAGATTTATTTTCTGGATTATAAAAACTATTTTGGTCGTATAAGTTGACTGTATGAACATTGTCGATATTGTCTTGTTCATGTGAATTTGTGTTGTGTATAAATATATCGGGATCTATCGTCGCGTCCGCACTCGGCTTGGTGCTTCTCTCGGTGGCTGCCCACCCGACCGCAATATGTGACCCTCGCCCTGTAGTTGCCCTAGTTGTAACGAGATGAGTCTGCATGAAGGTACCCAAGCATTCCATCGACGAATGCGATACGGTGAGTTATTTGTGGAGCTTCGTACACGTTTATGACGAAAATGCACTGCGTTAGCATGGTTTTTGCTTTTGTCGATAATTTTTTAGCGATATCTCGAATCAAAATTAGCTTTTGGACATAAATTCAGACAATATTGAAGCACGTTCCGCAAGCAGGATAAGATATTATACTTTTAAATGATTGAATAAGTGGTAGAGCCATGCTGCAGCTATATTAGTAGTATAGTTGTAGCACGAATGGGTCGGCTCGATCGAGAAAGGACTCCGCTCTCACAGAATACCAGCGTAAAATAGCAGCTTAACGCTGCTGTTTTTGTGTGGTGAGTGTAGAGAACCGGAGACCCTTTTCACTGGAAAGGAGATGGAATGCCTTAGTCTTATGTCATGACGGGTGACAACGCATTTGCATTTTGGTTCGTAGTCGAGAATGTAGATGTCTATGGGCCACAGAAACCACTCACCATCAGGTGGACTTTGTGCTTGTTTGTCACCCGTATCCTATAAAACAATACCATAGTATTGATTTTTTTATATAAAAGAAGTGACAAACAAACTTACAGTCCAACTGATGGTACGTGACTTCTGCAGTCCATGGACATTCCTCATATCCTGTAATCATTCTAGCACTCTATACCCTTCTGACCTGAAGACAGCAGTACAAGCATTGATATTAGGGGCAGAAATAGGTAAGAGAATGTTCACCTACCAACTTTTTGAACACCATATCTAAAACTATAATTCAAATTTGTTTTCCAATGATTCGCACACATTGAATATTACATTCAAACATCAATCAAACCCTCACACAACCCTCACTGCTCCTGGCACTGCACCAAAACAGATAAGCAATCATTTCAGTAATGAACCTGTCAAAATCAATCAATTTCTTCCAGTGCGATGTTATTACACGATTCTCGTACATATAACGGTTTGTTTTTTCATGTAGCTATAATTCAACACTAAGTGTTGTCACTTCCATGTCTATTTACCAGAAGTAGTATAAATTATGCGGTCATTGTGTTAAATTAAATTGTGAATACAGTCCATTTAAAATTACTTTATCAGTGTGTCATTTAAATTCAGGCACTTAATATCTATGTTATGCAATGATGATGTTGATAAATTTTAATGGAGTCATAATAATTTATCTATAACGGTTATAGTACCAGCTCATTGGTGATGACGTAAAAGGACCCATCATACCATCGCATCTTGTTACTATCGAATAGTCGATTAGTAAATCCTAGCACAAAAATAAACCATTGAACTTAGAACTTGCTGTAATCGCACGTTTGGCAGACAAATTGGCGATTGCAGTACTAGACGTCTAAGCACTTTTGACACTGGTTCGCCCCATCGCCAACCATATGGCTAGTCATCAGTAATTTCTAGCATTTTCTTTAGTGAAATTTTATGACGCTTGCTTTTACTATCTACTTAAAAGTGACTGCATTGAAAGGGTTTGCACCAGTTACGTGGAGCAATGTCTAAGGTAACTGGTGCAACGATCAGGGAACACTTAAGAATAAAGGACTAAACAAACAAAAGTTCTGATTCAAATAGTGACAAATTTAATGCAACTGCAACAAATCCATTTAATGCACTAGTCATTACTATTCCATTGAGAACTTATAAGGCTACAACTTTGTTTTCTTAACTTTAAGATGATAAATTAACTACTAAGTGGTAGCCATTTCCTGCTTTAGATGGCCTGTTTAGGTCAGTGCCAATTCTTTCCCTTCTCTATTCTATGCATTCTGCAGCAAACTATTAATGCTTAGATTTCTGTGTTCTATTATAACTGAGTCCTCAGAGGTGATTACACATCTGTAGCGTTCTTTATCTAAAGTTGGTTGCAGGTAACAGTAGGCTTCCGTAACCACTTAGGTTGATTGTAAGTTCGATTGTCACTTCAGTTTTATAAAAGTTATTAACATTAATAGTCTTACAACCACCTAATTCCAGAATAAAAATAGCAAGAAAATCTAAAACAAACTAAATGGCTACTCTTCTTGTTAAGAAGCTATTCCTATGTTTTCCTTTGTTGCTCTACAATTTATTAACAATACACCTATCGCTTTAACATACGATAAAGAAGGTTTTATATGCAATGTTATTTAAAATGTTTGTTCTATTGTTGCATTTATTAATTAACGCACATGTTACAATTGTGATTTTCGCGCCAAAAGCTAATGTGTGACGAGGTGTACATTGAATCGAGGTATCGAGCACTTTTGCTTGTTTTTCTGTGTAACGATAATTCATTTGACTTGCTCTGTTGATGTCGAGGGATCGATTGTACATTTTCCTTGATGTCAAACATAATTATACACGCTGAACCTTCGACACCATTACCCTAGATGTTAGAGTTAAGCTTTGTTAAAACTATAGAGGAAAATCTGCAAAATGCCAATGATGCTATACACACTTAAATAATGTAGAGATTTAAGATGCTAACAAGCACAAGAAATATTTGAACAATTCCTTGCTTGTTTTATTAAAGTATGAAGGAATATCAGAAACCTTGCCAGTGATGGCAACTTTGAAGTTTTTTAACCAAAAGTATCTAATTTAAACGGCTTTTTAGAATTTTCGCTAAAGTGATGCTTAGTAAATAACTTGAATAATATCTATTCAGTTGCAAACAAAATAGTCAGTAGTGACGGTACTTTATCAAATTTCATATCAATAGTTAAAAGCAAAATTTGTTTCGATATCAAATTTGGTAACGTACCATAGTTGTTTTAAAGATTAGTTTATAAATTGTGTTGATGATTTCAGGAATACTCTGTACAATTGACGTTCAGGGAACAATGGTTAGACGAAAGGCTCAAATTTAATAATTTGGGAGGTGAGTACACTGTAGCCAGCCAGGCAAAGACTTGAAAATGGCCCTTAACAGTAAACTAATTAAGACATTAATTAGCAGTACAACGAACCTAAGTTCGTTACCCTAGAAGTTATATTGACTGTTTTTAATATAAACTTTCAAAAGCAGTAAAGAAATTGTTAATTAGCTTCAATATTATTTATATTTACGATAAATGGTTTCAGATTCGAGTTTATAATTAAAGTCAATGTCAAATACAAAAAACAGAAATGAGTATTGTTAAAAATAATAAAGCAGAGTTTTAATTATCATAAAAATATATTGGTAAAGAGATAAAAGTAAAATTACAGCCTATATACGTCCCACTGCTGGGCACTCTCATTTCTGAGTGGGTTTTAGGCCAAGTAAGTAATGTTGGAAAACTTCACATGTCTTCGAAATATGGTAAGTCAGCACTTAAAGTTGTAATTAACAATTTCGTTGGTGCCAGACAGCGATCAAACACGAGTTACTCGCACACTGCGAAATTTACAGCGAGTGCTTGGCTCCTGTGATACCTCGGCTCGTAAAGAAATACCATCACATTATCTAAGTATATTTTGACATAATATATATAATATGTAAAGTAAATTTATTAGATCGAAATAAGTAGGTACCTAAGTATATTCAAATTTGTTGACAGGAATCGATGAGTAATTCCTACTGTAGTATAGTATAGTTTTTTTTATTTAAAAACTAGTAATGCTATTAAACATTACTAATATTCCCTTTAACCACTTCTGGTAAGCTTAAAATGTTTGTGTTAGAAGTGGTTCAAGACAGTAGTCGAATGGCGGATTGGAACCCACGACCTTTCGAGTTCACGGTCCGCAACCTGCCATTAGGCTACTGACGCTTCTCTTAGTATGGCAATAATTTTAATAGTAGGATTAAAATTCTGACAACCACTAAACGTTACAAAACAGTTCATTGGCGTTTTTGTTACCAGGCCGTCTCAAGTACCTAACATTGACGGAAGCGAACAGGGTATGGATGCCGGATCTATTCTTCTCCAACGAGAAAGAGGGCCACTTCCACAACATCATCATGCCGAACGTGTACATACGTATATTTCCCAACGGAAACGTGTTATACAGCATCCGAATCTCCCTCACACTCTCCTGCCCCATGAACCTCAAGCTGTACCCGTTGGACAAGCAAACGTGCTCTTTGAGAATGGCCAGTTGTAAGTACAACAGTAACTTTAACATATTCATTTTTGAATACTTTAGCAATGAAATTATGATTCGCTTTAAAATGAATATTACATACACTCTTGGCTTGTACAAATGTAAAACACACAGACAAACACACTGTGTGTGTGTCTTTAATGTGTGTGTTGTGTTCAATGTATGTTCAAATAGTTATAAATAAATGTTTTGGTGGCTGGCGTAAGAAAATCAATCATTTCGTGGGTGACGTAAAAGGTAACAGAGTGAAACTAAAACAGTATTTCAGCAGGAGCATTTGTGTGATAACAACCTAAAATATTTAAATAAAAAAACATGCGTGAGTGTGGTGGAACCACTCGGTTGCAACGAAGTTCCTTTCATAGTATATTATTATTGATAAACGTACTATATTATTGATTAACAAATATAAATAAATAAATTATTAGCGTCTATTAAAATGAAGCGTTATTTAAAATACGAGGTGCACAAATGAACGCAAATAGAATATTTCGGGTTGAGTTACAATAAAACCTTTTTTAGAATTTGAATACTGGTCTCTTAGAATCTTAATGACATTCAAACAATTAAAAAAATGTTTAAAAGCAAAAACTATATTGCTTTAAAGTTGACACGTAGTTAACAGAAATGGAGCTCACGCGTGAACATTTCCGTGCCATAATTTATCACAATTTTCGTCGCGGCTTATCTCAGGATAAATGTCTCAGCCAACTTGTTTCGATTTATGATGTTGAAGCACCGAGTCAAACGACAATATACCGCTGGTATTCCGAGTTCCGATGCGGTCGTGTGTCGCTCAGCAATGTTTCTCCTGCAGGTCGACCAAGAACAGCGGTCACGCCTGAAAACATCGTAGCTGTGCGAACTATTATATTAGATGACCGTCATGTGACACACGAGCAGATTCGAGCTGTTATTATTATCGGAATGACTGCAATTCAGTCGATATTACATAATGAGCTGTGTGTAAGAAACCTAGTTTCCCGCTGGGTTTCCCATAATTTGTCCGAAGAGCAAAAGGCGGCTCGTGTAGATTGGTGCCAGAATACTCTGATACGCTTCAACGGAAGTCAAATGCCGTTTCTAATATCGTCTCAGGTGACGAATCATGGATTTATTCATACGAACCTGAAAGAAAACATCAGTCAGTAGTTTTGGTCTTCGAAGACGAGGTTAAACCAACGAAAGTGGTTCGCTCCCGCAGCGTGTCAATGATAATGGTCGCTACGTTTGTCTCGAAAAAGGAGCATGTTGCTACAATTCCTTTACAGGAACGCAAAACGGTTACCGCTGAGTGGTATATCACGGTTTGTTTGCCAGAAATGATAGCCGAACTCCATAAAAATAACCCGAAACGTCGCATCATCTTACATCACGATAATTCGAGCTTCCATACGGCTCGGAAGACAAATGATTTTTTGAAGCAGGAAAACATTGAGCTGATGAGCCATCCTCCGTACAGTCCTGACCTAAGCCTAAACGATTTCTTTACATTCCCTAGAATGAAAGATTTATTACGCGGTCAACGGTTTGAAGACCCTGAAGCAGCTGTGGAAGCGTACAAATCAGCCATTTTGTCAACATCAATTTCAGACTGGAATTACTGTTTTAATGATTGGTTTGCACGAATGGAAAAGTGCATTAAGTTGAACGGAGAATACTTCGGAAAACAATAAAATACAATTTAGCTATACCGTGCATGTGGTTTTTCTTATTCCCGATCATTTCAGTGTGCCCCTCGTAAAATACGCTATGACGCAAGGGATAGTGACGAAAAAATCTTACACTTTTTGCCGCCTAGCTCCCATCCGCCAAACCCGTACCGTCCGATAAGGAACTTCGTTCAAAAAAAACATGCGTGAGTGTCGTGGAACACTCGGGGAAACGTATTATATTATTGATTAACAAGTACAAATAAATGAATTACTAGCGTCTATTAAAATGAAGCGTCATTTGAAATACTCGTATAATAATTTGTTTTCGTGCCAAGATAAGAAAAAGTGCGAGGGAGATGGATATTATTCCATCTCGCTTCCTTACCGTGACGGAAAAATCTTACACTTTTTATCGCCTAGTCCCCATCCGCCAAATTCGTACCATCCGATAAGGAACTTCATTTCAAAAACTGCTGTTGACAACCCGCTTGCTAAGAGTTGTTACTCTTGCTAACACATTGGTTGTAGCCAACATGAATCCTGGGGTATACCCCTAGCAGCTATGACTACCAATAGTCTAGGTAGGTTTTACACGAGGTAGAGCCAAGCTATATTATGTTGTAGTACGAATGGCTCGGCTCGATAAGGCAAGGACCACACTCTCACCAGCAAAAATAGGGGCTTAACTGTATTACGTATGACGAGTGTAGAGAGCCGGAGAACTTTTTTTTTTCTGGAAACGGCGCATTCCATCGTAGTCCTCAGGGGTGACAAAGCATCTGCATTTTGATTCTTAATCGAGGAGTGATGTAGATATCTATGGGCCACAGTATCTATTTAGCATCAGGTGGACTATGTGCTCGTTTGTCACCCTTATTCTATAAAAGAATAAAAGATAAAATGTATTTATAACCTTTATCTACCCAGTGCTTACGTCATCTTGTTCTTACTAATTCAGTAACTTCCTTTTGGCACAAGCCCTTTTGTGAAATGTTCGCGCCAATCGAATATAGTATTAGCCGTATAGTTAAACGCAAATTGGATTTGATTCAGTAAAATTAAACGAAAATACTCTTTCTTTTTCGACGTTTGATAATATTTTTTTTATTTGTCAAAAATATTTCTATTTTAAAGATTTTATGAGCATTAATGATAACGGTGAAAAGAACCGACAATACACTCTTTTTTGCCTTTATATATTGAAACCTCCTTAAATAGAAATAGATATAGAATTTTCTTAATATCTTTTAATATATAAAAAAATATTTTTGTTTCTTCGTATTTTATACTCTGCCATACCGTTCATCAAATTGCGGTAAAATTTTGTTATAGGCATAATACAATTAACTTACAGTAGGTGCCGCGCGTATAGTACCGTCAAGGTTATTTATTTGAAAGTAATATATCACTCAACTTCAAGAAATTTATTATCATTCCTAATTTAACAATATGCCTTGCAAATTTGAAATTATATTTTCACGATTTATTTTTTGTGCGGCGGCAACGCGCCGGGTACCAGCTAGTGGATTATAAATAATACTTATTGAAAGTCATTCTTATCGTTAATTTATCACTGCTCCGGAAAATCGGAATTGGAAGGAGTTCGTAAACATGTAGTCGTACGGACTATTGCTCCATACTATATATATTGAGAGGAGAATCGCTCAGCTGACCAGGGTATGACATAACTATTTTTTTTCGTATTTTGATCAATATTGCAAAGAAAAGTTCTCTGTTTTTTTAAGATGACAAACAAACAAACAATCCTCTTGATGGTAATTGAATTCTGTAGTCCATAGACATCACCATCTACACTCGATTAGGTATCAAAATGAAGAATACGTTGTCACCCTTAAGGACTAAGATGGAATGTCTCATTTCCAGGGAAAAGGAAACTAAAGTGGAAAGTGTCGTTTCAAGTAAAAAGGGTCTCAACTTCACGTCATATCTTTATGTTCAATTCAATTTTTTTGTTCTATGTATGTTTTACATAGATAATAAGCCGTGCACATAAAAACAAACTAAAGATCAAAGAAACATTTTTATAAAAAAAAAGTTAAATGGCATGTCTGTGAGTCATCAATGATTTTCAGCTATTTCCCATTGTACACAGACCTAACACTAATGGAATAGTATAATATAATTTTTACCTTCACGCATAATTATCTACTATTATTACCTAATATATACATACTTATAAGTTCTTTTCTAAAGTTACTATTTTTATGTTTCTATTATCCCCTCACGTGGCCGGCCATTTTACTTTTTTACGCGCTATTGTAAACAATGATATCTTTTCATTTTATATGCCGGCTATATTATAAAACTTACACGTATCGAATCATTATAAATTAAGCTTAATATAGCTAACGTAATAAAACTCGAATTTAATTAACCTAACCGAATATCATAGAAAATTTAAATCTTTGAAAAAAAAATTATAAATGTTATTAAGTAAAAGCTTTACTGCAATCTGTTATTCCTCATATCCAAAAATAAGATACCAAAGACTGCTCTTAGTCCATCAAAATTAAAAAAAAAACCATTTTGGTTTTGTTCGGTGAATTGAATCAGGCCATGCACACAATAGAGGCTGAACTCTAAATCTAAAACTTTAGAATAAGCGACCTTGGAATTGTAAAAATATTTTAACACTAAGAATGTCTTAACGACTACACGTAACATGTACTATTTAAAGAATGCGTCCCGTTCATTTCAGCTGTGAATCATATTAAACATTGTTCGCATTCCTTAATAAAAAACAGAATTTTGGGAGTACAAATTACGGGATAACATCAATGTAAGTATCGGTGAAAAGCTAGCTCAGGGGTTAAACGGTCGCCGTAAATTTCTCAGAACGAAAGCAACCCGGGTTCGATCCCCGTGGAGGTAGGAGGTCGAAATGTCAGCATAGTCGAGCATAGGTAGAGTAGTAAAGATTAGACAAGCGTAATTTTAGGCGAAATGGGTAATAAGTAGCTGAGTCTCCGAGGTGAACCAAATACTGCAAACATTTTACGGCCCACTGCAATATTTTGAGGAGTCCCAAAAATGCCGGTATCCAAAAGGATACCTTAATTATTTACAAAGTTTAAAAGTTAAAGTAAAAAAAGCCTATATACGTCCCACTACTGGGCACAGGCCTCCTCTCATTTCTAAGAGAGTTTTTGAATAATATAATTATTAACAATGACAGTATAATTACCTACATAACTTTTAGATTGGCTCTTATAACTTATTCACGTAGTGAAGCCACGTATTTTGTCAGCAGCACAAATGGATTAGCTCGACCAGGGGGTGATCATGTAACTTATTTGTATTTTTATTTATAATCGAAGTAGATGCAGGTGGCCTATGAGCCCCAGCATCCACTTTACACTAGGTAATTACGTTAACGTAGCTGTAGGACCCAAAAAAACTGAAACTAATTTAAAATACTTTATTTTAATACAAAATTACAATATAATTATTACAACTAGAGAAGAAGTGAAACAGATCGATGCTAAATCTAGAATGAATTATAATTATTATAATAAAAATAAGGTAAATGTACATATTATATTGCTGAGATCAAATTGCATCCGTTGACGTCAAAGCTTACGTGCTACTGAGTTGTGCCTCGTGCCGTTGCAATGTATTGGTGTCGCTGCTGTGTAGACTCTTTACCTATCAGGCTATGTAGTAGGTGGACTCTGTATTTGGTTATCATCTTTATTTCTATGAGGAAAAAAACAGAAGGATGCAGCATGTGCTGGCGACACTGGGATTTAGAGGAACACAGTTCACTTATTCCCTTTAACCCTCTAAGGTTAACTGTACCCAAAATACCTCACTCTTCTAGACGGCTGGACGACAGACGATTTGGTGTTCCTGTGGAAGGAGGGCGATCCAGTACAGGTTGTGAAAAATCTTCATCTACCACGTTTCACTCTTGAAAAGTTCCTGACTGATTATTGTAACAGCAAAACAAATACTGGTAATTTTTTTTTTAAGTTCGATTCCATTGAAATAATTTAATTACTTCCTTATTTGTAGATACTTAATATTAACGATGTACAGATTTTATTGATTTAAACTTTTCATTGCTATTGTCTTTATCTAGGTGAATACAGTTGCCTGAAGGTGGACCTGTTGTTCAAGCGAGAGTTCAGTTACTATCTTATCCAAATCTACATCCCGTGCTGCATGTTGGTCATCGTATCCTGGGTGTCCTTCTGGCTCGACCAGGGAGCTGTGCCCGCCAGGGTCTCCTTAGGTCAGTACTTCGGATACCACTTCTGTTTCTTATACTTCAGTATTTATACAATATTTTAGTTGGATTAAAATATTCATAATAATTTGAAAACTAACTTTATTAAATGTTTGTAATGATAGTATTTTTACTCGACTACCTCAGAAGGAGGCAAATGTTTTCGAGAGTATGTACATAAATATTCTATAGTCTATTTCTTTGAAATACTTTTTAATGACGTTAGATTTTTTGATTAGTCTTCATTGTGAGAGTGACAAAGACAATATAATGTTTATATATTATTGCATCTGCAAATGCAAAAAAGGGATGGGAAGATTTTTCATTAAACTTTTTAAAGCTATCGGGTTAATCATTAAACTTGTTAAGAAAGTCAATAAGAATTACTTAACCAAATTATACAAGTTGTTAAGGAATTAGGCAAAGTGGTCACATTATACAAGTAGCGGCACGAAAGTCTAGCGATGACCGTTATTGCGCATAAGTCACGCTGATTGGCTTATTGCGCACACGTCGCGCTTATTGGCTCGTGCGTATCGTTCGCACGCGCTGATTGGGTCTGCAGTCGCATTCGTGCAATTCAATTCGTGCGCGTCTACTCCAAGGTTCGTTCAGCGCTAGACTTACGTGCCGCGACTTGTACATGGCAAAAAAATCACCTCAGTGTTTCTTGCCGAAGGTCTTGTTTTTGTGAATCGGTGTAGATAAAACGTTCATAAAAACTTGCCTAAAATTAATAAAAAGTTTTAAATTTGACCTTAAAGCTACCAGCCAATTCAAAACAAAAAAAGTCGTAATCATATTGTTACCACTGAGAACTTAAGGCCGCTTATACATAAATCAAATTTCTTACCCTTTTCAAATAGATTGTCACAGTGAATGCTTAGCACAAAGTGAACACCTGCCTAGGCAAATTTCTAGATCGAAAAGGCCTTATCTGGCCACAGTTTGATTCTAGATTATTATTAAGTAATTTTGTCTGAACCATTTACAAGAACCTCTGTTCTAATTTCTGCTCGATATTCTTACTGTGTAAATAAAATAAATTCTGAAATAATTTATTCTAGGAGTGACAACGCTCCTCACGATGGCTACCCAATCGTCAGGCATCAACGCTTCTTTACCTCCCGTCTCGTACACAAAAGCCATTGACGTCTGGACCGGGGTCTGCTTGACTTTTGTTTTTGGGGCGTTACTGGAATTTGCCCTAGTCAACTACGCGTCCCGTTCCGACATGCACAGAGAGAACATGAAGAAAGCGAGACGGGAGATGGAAGCGGCCGCTAGCATGGACGCAGCTTCCGATCTGTTGGACACGGACAGCAACGCCACCTTTGCAATGGTGAGCTCGTACACAATACGCTTTAGCAGCCTGCTAACACTAGATCGCTTGCTGATGTATTACTTGTGAAAGTACTTTTGCCAGATTTAGTTTAGATCTGATATCTAGAAATACTCAAAAAATTGAGTTTTCTATTAGTCACTTCAAATTTTAAAATTGTTAATTTTAAAATTGGAACGTGTCAATTGTATTAGTAATTTATGATGAATTGCAAAAAAAAAACTGCATAGAAATAAATATGAATGCGTAATAAGGTGCATGAAGAAAACTTCGTTTTAAAACCAAGTTAGTTTTGGAACGTATCGAATAGACCTAGCATTGAATCAGTTAACGCAAATAAAATATGGAAGTATTAAAAATTACAGCTTATTTACATCCAACTTCTGGGCACAGGCCTTCATTTCTGAAAGAGTTTAAGGGCAAGGAAATGTCCGCCGCGCTGCCCCAATGTGCACCGTGCACGTGGAATGTATTATCACAGCCTAAGAAGTTAGACTGTGGTATTACTTCAAGGGAATCAACGCATATATACATGGCACAATACTTTAAATAAATGAACCTATGTACATCGCTGATTAGCTAATAGTGTGTTAAATTTTATTTCATATCTGGACGCACAGTCAAAAGTTGACCTTATTTCCCAATAGTTTTTGGTTTCAATTACCATACATCATATAAGTTGCTTACAACATTTATTATAAGACCCCTTCGTGCTCATCACTGATGATGTGTGCAATGCAAATTATAATTAATCAATATTATAATAGTGTCGATGTTCGAACTAAACGTGTTTGCAGCGGAATAGGGTATTTTGCACCATGTAAAAAACACATACTTATGATAGGTATTTGTATAAATTAAACGAGAAATGTTGATATCTATTCATAAAAATGCATTATAAATCTAACTGGTGTGATGTGTCTACTGGCGTCCCTCAAGGCGGTATAGTCTCTCCTATTCTGTTTTCAATTTTTATCAATCTCATCACATTAAATCTCAAGTGCTCTTACCATCTGTATGCTGATGATCTGCAGTTATATGTGCAAGTGGAACCCTCAAACATCTCTAATGCTATCTCATTATTAAATGATGACTTGAAATACATCTCCGAATGGCCCACTGTGTATGGCATAAACGTGAACCCATCGAAGTGCCAAACAATAATCTTAGGTAGCCACGATTATTATCGAAACTAGATATTCCCATCCTACCATCAATTATGTTTAAAAATAATGTCATACCATTCTCTCCCCATGTAAAGAACCTTGGTATGTACGTTGATGGTTGCTTAACATGGAACAAACATATACAGGAGTTGAGTCGCAAAACTACCGGATCTTTGCGATCTCTATATCGATTAAAACATTTTCTTCTCACCAATACTAAGATTTTACTTGTCCAGTCACTTATCCTACCGATTATTGATTATGTCGATGTGTGTTGCTCAGACCTGTCTCAACATCATCTTAATACATTGGATCGTCTACTTAACAACTGTATGAGATACATTTATGGTCTCCGTAAATACGACCATGTATCTTCTTTTCGTGCTCAGCTAAATTGGCTGTATATCCGTCAGCGCAGATATGTCAGAATACTTTGCGCCTTTTTCACGATTCTGAACGATCCATATGCTCCCGAGTATCTGAAATCCAAGTATCAATATCTGGGAGATTCTCATAATCGTTCTCTCCGTTCTTCGGCTAATCTTAAGTTGTTTACTCCTTTACACCGTACTGGTTATTTATCTCAATCTTTCGCCCTCACGGCCATCAGACTCTGGAACGACATGTCTCTTGATATTAAAAAAGCTTCCAACAAGTTTGTTTTTAAAAATCAAGACCGTAAGCATGTGAAAAATTTGTTGCAAGTTTGAACTAACACAGCTCTTATTTTCATACACATATGTATATTTCACATTTGTTCTGACATAGATAATTTACATGTATTGTGTATATATGTAGTGTATGCATGCATATGTGTATGTATGTATTTATATATGTCTATGTATGTGTGAATATGTATATTTATATGTATATACAATATTTTTAGCGCATTCTATTTTGATTACTGCTGCACCGCCTCTTGTTTGTATATCTCTTCAGCCTAATGGTTGACTGGGAGAGAATGCCCTATGGCATTAAGTCCGCCATATGTACAACTTTGTGCATGAAAGATTAAATAAATAAAAAAAAATATAATTCAATTTTAAGAATATCATTTTATAATATGTCAATCTTTTTATAATATGTGTAATCTACAAAACGCTATCAGCCATATTCGATTGCGTCGTGACGTCACTAATAAAGTAAACAAGCTAATGTGGTGTTTTATTTCGAAATTTTTAAAGTTATCATCACGGTTGTTGTGACTTTTATTCCGTATTTTATTGATATGGAATCATGGAAGAGGGATCCGTAAAAGTAGAAAGTATAAATTAGTACTTTCTGCTTAACCAAGGATAACGTTTTTTGTTCTGCTGATTTGAGGAATGTTAAAACATTGCGGCGGCGCTGTCGTCGCGCCACAAGCGAAACACATCGAAGCCTAAATCGCACTAACAAAGTTCCGAAGTCAAAGCAGCATATATAGAATAGCTCCGAACTACCAATCGGAGCGCTGGCCGCTCCCTGGGCAGAACACCTTGCCCGGCGGGAGATCTCCCCTTTTCCTTCTACCCGCCACAGTGGTGACCCCGACGTGATCTGACACGCAACCAATAACCTTCGGAAAATACAACTTCAAAAACCTTCGTCATCGTCCTCAAGTACCCCATTCATTCGCTCGCGAGTAGATATTGTCTGCATTCTTCACATTCTGCAAGCCATTTACCTTTACAAAAAGTTCATCGCAGCACTGGAATAATAATGCTTCCTGTTCCTTCAAGCTACTCTCTGCGCTACAGTGTTCAGCACGGCTCTGAGCCTCACTGCTCGCCTCTGCTTCACGGCACTCTCGCAGATTATTTGCCTTCTTCTCGACTCACCGCAGACTTACAAGGCAATTCTCTGGCACTTGCAAATTCGTCGACATCTAGACTACACTATCGACCTCCGGTCTGAGCAGGGGGGTGAAGTGGCGGCGCTGTCGTCATGCCACAAGCGAAACACATCGAAGCCTAAATCGCACTAACAAAGTTCCGAAGTTAAAGCAGCATATATAGAATAGCTCCGAACTACCACTCGGAGCGCTGGCCGCTCCCCGGGCAGAACACCTTGCCCGGCGGGAGATCTCCCCTTTTCCTTCTACCCGCCACAACATCAATGTAAATACCTATTAACAACTTTAGTTTATACAAGAACTCAATACCAGGTCAGAGTGTCTTTTGATAATACATATATAGTTATGTCTATCTATGATTATTGATTACAATAATTAACAATCATTAGTTATATCTAAGGTAAATTTATCTTTTACAAAATTAGATCTTGCAATACCTATCACTTCATGATGTTTTGTTTTTATAAACGGTAGTTAAATATAAGTCATACATACATCAAATATGTCATACATAAATAAATATACGACAATGTCTTCGGGTCACTTCTTGCCAGTTTTAAACAAGTATTTCTGATATTTAAATCAGTTGGCACTTGAATCCATAACTTTCCTGGCGGTCTTATGCTCGTATTTTTGCATTCAGGCAACTTACATTTGCGGCAGCTTAAAGAGGGTTGAAGTGGAAGAAGATGAAGACTTTTTCCAATATTACTTTTATTTTAACTTAAAAGGTAACTTAACTACTGTGACGATGTGACTACACAGGAATACGAGACTAAAATAACTTACAAACTAACTTAACTACTTACTACTGGGCTGTTTTAACGATTAGACCCTGGGTTTTATACTACATTGAAAATTCTTAAGTCACGTAAAAGACGCGCTATTATTTGCTTAGCGAGCTGAGCTGTAAGCTAGGTGACTTCCTGATGACACTATATTGAATATTCTTAAATCAAGTAAGTGAATTGAGTCACGTCGTGCTGTTGTTTGCTTTAACAAGCGGTGCTGTATTTTAAGTGACTTCCTGATGCCATATAAGGTTCCAGTAGGCACAATATGTAACTCCTCCACCCTCAGCGCGACGACTATTGTAGCACATTCAGCGAAAATGTCGCTGGCACGTCTTCTGCTTCAAGGTCTGGGCATATGTAGACATATGTAACTGGCACAACACAGAAATGATAAAGATAACTCATTATTAAACATCCAAAAATATCTTCTTCCTTTGCAAAATCGTTTTCTTTACTAAGTCAGTGACGTCACGAGCCGAACAGCATGGCGGCTAGCGTTTTCGCGCGAAAATTTAAAACGATAAATTAAAAAGGAATTCTTATGGCACTTTTCGGTTTAAATTATATACAAATTATAGTGATTTATTATCACTTTAGGATTAATTTAAAAAACTATTAGAAAATGGGTGTAATGTCCTATTGTTAAGCCACGCTTACCGCGGCTCATGTTTCGTTGGGTCATTTTTGGAACTCGAATGGTTCCATTTTTTATTTGCGTTCACTGCTTACATATTTCCTACTTCAATAGTGAGAATGATTTGCAAAATTATCTCAATTATAATGAAGGTAATTTAATTATTAAACCCAGCTAGTTAGACAAACATGCCTGAATTTGACTTTAATGATTATTTTATGCTTATATAATTTTAGATTCGGTGTAGTGTCGTTGTAAAAATATCCACTACCCCATATCTTTCCGTGGGTGTCGTAAAAGGCGACAGAGGGAAACTGAGGCTGGAGATGGGCAGCAGCATCTTTCTGATTACAAAATTACAATAAAAAACTGCGGTTGCCAATCCTCTTGCCAAGCATGGCAACTATGGCAGACATGCCCCCATGATGAAAGTTACGAAGAGACGGCCCCCAGTCCCCGGCGGCCCCGCTATTCCTGGCTACGGTGCCGACCATGTTAACAGCGAGGTAGGGGGCGATAAGCATCTGCGGTGGAGGTTCGACTGCCACCTAAGACGACTCGACCTGGCAGCATGTAACGCACGTACCATGAGGACTGACAAGAAGATCCTGGAGGTGGAAGATGAGATTGACAAATTGCGCTTGGATATCATAGGATTATCTGAGATCCGAATAGAGGGGGAGGACATGTAATCCTCGAATGCGACAACTTGTTATATCACCGGGAGGGTGACCATCTATACTAAGGAGGTATCGGATTTATCGTCCACAAATCTCTCGTTAACAACATTGTAAATATTGGGAGTGTGTCGACAAGGGTTGCGTACCTTATAGTCAGAACTACCAAACGGTATTCGCTGAAGGTCACACAGGTTTACCAAGGTGAAGTGGCAATGGGCTGGCCATATAGCTCGAAAAAACGACAACCGATGGGGAAGAATGGTTCTCGAGTGACAGCCTCGTACCGGCAGGCGAAGTGTACGGCGTCCTCCCACTAGATGGAGTGACGACCTGGTAAGACATGCAGAAAATCGATGGATGCACGTGGCTCAGGACCGTACTTTGTGGCATTCCTTGGCGGAGGCCTATATTCAGGAGTGGATTTGTGAAGGGGTGTAATAATGATGATGATGATGATAATTTTTCGAAATTAATAAACTGTAGATATAAATAAATTCTTATGACGATAATGCCTTCGATACAAAACGGAAGCTGTAAGTAAAAGAAAAATAAAACAACCTTGCTCATTTATACTTCCTGTATGCAGTAGAGAAAATTACGGAAAGTACAGATTTACACATAGATAAAGAGACAAATTTGATACATGTATATCCAAAAATTATAAATTTACATTTTGCACAAGTTTGAATGTGAATGAGATTCAAATCTAGAGCCTTTTCGACGGGCAGGTGTAAATTAACGTAGATAAATCATGATTGTAAATAATTTAGTATTAGGAGCTTCTTTACGTAAAATATTTAATACTTCAGATTAAAGACATTTATTTCACTTAAAGAACACATTGTTCACTTTTACAGAGAATAGAATAGAATAGAATAGAATGATTTTTATTCAATATGGATTATTACATAATACTTATTGAAAGTCATTATTTTATTTACCACTGGTTCGGAAAATACCTCTGTCCTGGGAAGAACCAGCAAGAAACCCAGCGGGACTTTTTTTTAAACATAATTTCACTTAACAATTATTTTGTTTATACAATTTTAAATGAATTTTCATAGAACTAGCATGGTGGCGATCACCTTAGATTAAGTATACATACAAAATAATACTACCAGTATTTACACGGTAGCATGCATTATATAATTCTATTATGTTTTAGTGTTACATGTATATCCTTAATTAATTTGTTACATTTTTTCTTACTTAATGCAAACATATGTATGTATTATATGGTAATGTTTTAAAAATATGAATATTGTATTAATGCAATACTCATATGATCAAAATTGAAGATATGTAGTTATAAAATTTTATCTAATACTTTACTTATTTAAATACATTTTAATAATTTTCATTAAAAAATCAATTAATTTTGTTCGTCCAAAGTTCAATGAATCTAGTGTTTCGGTATTTTTCGGTCATCTCTATTAAGTAACAATAAAAACAAAAACATATACTTTTTTTAATAGTTTTTTTACTTCTTATTTCTTCTTCTTTCCTTAGAACATTCATATTAGTCTGGAAATAGCATAGATTTATCACCTGTTAATTACATTCATGGTATGCACTAAAATATTTTAGAATTTTTCTGCGTTGTAAATGATTATTTTTTGAAACTCATTGAATTTAAAAGAAAAATAATTCTATTTATCAAAAATAGACATTTGACTTAATCGCCATCCGTTATAAATTAGATTGATGGATTTCTGTAATCAATTAGACTTATACGCCGAAAACTAGCAGAATACACGAAAAAGTAATCAAAGCCATCTAAACGAGACCTTAATTCTGAATCAACTAGCTATCGATTAAATGACATGTGAAACCAAAGTGCCCTATGTCCGTCGTCCCTGACTAGTCTGCAACCGACAGAAGCCGTTGATGCACGACGGCGTGGTCGACTCCAAGATGCGTCAGTGCGAGATCCACATCAGCAAGAAGCGCAAGAACTGCTGCCGCCTCTGGATGTCCAAATTTCCTACTCGCTCCAAGAGGATAGATGTCATCTCCAGGATCACCTTTCCGCTTGTATTCGCCCTCTTCAACTTGGCCTACTGGTAAGATCATTAAAATTTCTAGATTTTGCTTAATTAGTTTTCTTCCATACTGAGTAATTGCAGTTGCTGGAGAGCCTGCAGATAGCTTAGAACGAGCATTTGTTTTTCTGTTATTTATGAGGGCCACTTACTATAACTTTTCTCCAAAGGCAACCTGCACGCGCCTATAGTCTGCAAACTGACAAACAATATCTGGCGACCAAACAGTGGCAGTTTACTTTTTCGAAATTCCTAACTATTTAAATCTTATAGCGGAATGTCCACCCGAAAAGCTGTAATCTACCTGTCCCATTCATAACTGCCTTTACGTTTTACGAAATTAACCGGTTAATTTGGGTGTCAAAGCCGTTTGTTAGTAAGTTACCGGTAACATTTATCGTTTAGGTGAAATTAAAACCGGTTACTTGCTTAACCGGTGATTGAAGGAAGCATATATTAGATCAATTGAAATTAACCGCTCTTCTTAAACCGGTTTCGAGCCTTGCTTTGGTTACCATAAATAAATCCACCCGGAGCACTAAGTCATCGATATAGCCTTCTATATTTGCCAAGTACAAATTACAAAAGTGACAGTTGTCGCTGAATTTTGATTATAGTCTCCACGGAGACTGGACGTCTGTCAGGACAGGATTACAATGCAGGAGACACCAGCAAGGTGCACTCTCTATTCCCTCATTCTTATAGTCTGATGGGTCAGCAAGAGAGATCGGCGCAGGACCAACGGTTTTATGTGCTTTCTGAAGCATGGGGGTGAAAGTTACCATTAAGAACATTCTTGACAGAAAAAATAATGATTTTGACTCGACCATATGTTTAGAGAAATAGAAGTGATGCTAATGATCACTACAGATCAACGAGGCTATTAAAGTTGTTTGGAAAGTAGTATTGATGACGATACTACATGCGGGTTTTTACACCGTCAGATCAGATCAGATCATCTATTGGAGATCCATTTTACTGGAAACGAAGCATTCCATTTTATTGCTAAGGGGTGACAACGTTTTGATTTTTAATCGAGGATAAATGTAGATGTTTATGGGTCACAGCATCCACTTACCATCAGGTGCAATGTGTCGTCGTTTGTCACCCTTATTCTATAAAGTAAATAAATTAATAAGTATTGACAACGCAACTGTATCCTTCCTTGTTTAAAGTTAAATATAATATACTGCAGTAGCTGCCTGCCGTCAAGCGGATTGTAAGTTCGTCGGTTACTGACACCATTCTCTTACCTATTTCTGTGGGAATAGCTAAAAAAGCTGAGACACATTTCATCGTAGTAAAAAGTGACAACGCAACTGTAGACGTTGTTTGTAGCTGGGGACAGGTGTCTTTGGACTGCAGTAGCCGCTTACCACTTTAGAACTTTAGAAAGACATTTTAGAAAAAACTTAGGCCGTTGACGTCATCAGTTCGTTGGGTCACTTTATTTTAAAAATATCCGCGTGGAACAGGTCGACATACCTGTTCCGCGACGAGGACGAGGAGCAGTGATTCACGCGCGAAGCGGCGGGCGCGCCGCAGCGGGCGCGGCTGGCGGCGGCCGTGCTGGCGCCCTACGCGCTCTTCGCGATCGCCTACGTCGCCTGCCTGCGCACGCGCACGCCCCCGCGCCGCACCCCCGACCCGCTCTAATTCTCCCGCTGCCCACTGCCTCTCTCTACCCTACCTGCACAACATCTGGCGCCCTAAGCACTCTTCGCGCTCGCCTACCTCGCCTGCCTGCGCACGCGCACGCCCCCGCCCGACGCCCCCGTCGCGCTCTAACTCTCCCGCTGCCCACTGCCTCTCTGTACCTTACCTGCACAACATCTGGCGCCCTACGCGCTCTTCGCGCTCGCCTACCTCGCCTGCCTGCGCACGCGCACGCCCCCGCCCGACGCCCCCGTCGCGCTCTAACTCTCCCGCTGCCCACTGCCTCTCTGTACCTTACCTGCACAACATCTGGCGCCCTAAGCACTCTTCGCGCTCGCCTACCTCGCCTGCCTGCGCACGCGCACGCCCCCGCCCGACGCCCCCGTCGCGCTCTAACTCTCCCGCTGCCCACTGCCTCTCTGTACCTTACCTGCACAACATCTGGCGCCCTACGCGCTCTTCGCGCTCGCCTACCTCGCCTGCCTGCGCACGCGCACGCCCCCGCCCGACGCCCCCGTCGCGCTCTAACTCTCCCGCTGCCCACTGCCTCTCTGTACCTTACCTGCACAACATCTGGCGCCCTACGCGCTCTTCGCGCTCGCCTACCTCGCCTGCCTGCGCACGCGCACGCCCCCGCCCGACGCCCCCGTCGCGCTCTAACTCTCCCGCTGCCCACTGCCTCTCTGTACCTTACCTGCACAACATCTGGCGCCCTACGCGCTCTTCGCGCTCGCCTACCTCGCCTGCCTGCGCACGCGCACGCCCCCGCGCCGCGTCTCCGTCCCGCTGTAACTCTACCCACTACCTCTCTATACTACCATCATACTCTCTCATTCTGCCTACATTTGCTCCTCTCTACAAAATCTATTCCTCCGCTCTCTACAGCATCCTCTTTCAAATCGCGCACATTTACTCCTGCTTTGATATTTACAATATTCAATTGCAATTATCCTAAATAACACTTTACTATCCCTGCCAAATTCTAGCGATCATTTTGTTCGCTTCAAGCTAACGTACTTTCCCAAGTATGTCCGCTTGGAATATGTGCTTTTTATGTATATTTTGTATTAAATGTTTTTGAAGGCACTGAGACATTAATGGAAACAATTCAGCAATTAATACTAGGGAAACATAAATAACAAAAACTTTGTTTAAATATTATTGGAACTCAAACTAAGAATGTTATTTAATATTCGACATAAAACACTGAAAATGAATATGACAACAGTAATACTACAAATGGTGTGGCGAAAATGTGAAATTTATTTTTCATTATACATGTTATTTATTTAAGAAAGTGTTGCAATTCTCATCAAAGCAACGGGTGTCTCAAAAAGGTTTTAGGTACGAACATGGACGAAACAATATTGGAAAAAATCGTGTTCTTTGACACTGTGTCTCAGTGCCTCAATTTTTTTTATCTAACAACTTCATTTCCTTTCTATTAACCAGTTATAAGAGTTTCAGTATTTGATGAAATACATATAATAAACACATTTAAAACGTGACGCATGCAAATTACCCTTTTGTTAGAGAATCATAATAGCACTGTAGAAGTGAGTAGATCGGTGTAACACACAATATATTTGTCTAAACTAAATGAATCAGATGTATGTATGTAGAAAAGTGTAATTCCAAATGATTAATTAGTAATTTTCGATCTCTTTACTGAACGACAACCTGCGATCTGTCGCGGTATGTTGTCCATAGTGTAATAGTTTTACGAATAACATAGCTGCATATAATACTAAACTATGTATTCAAATATGTGCTGTATTTCCTCTAAACTACATTTTAAAATAAAATTATACCCTACTTTTTATCTATGTGGTGTTTATGTCTGAAATTATGATTATAAGAACACAAAATATAACCGATAACATATAATTGTATGTGGTAATAGTAAATTTAAACTCTACTTTATCTCTTAGAGGGTAGAGTTCGGTGTCCAAGTTATTAGATGATAGAATTATGGTAAAGTTCACAGTTATTGTTAAGAATAGTGCACATAGATGACATCCATTATTCACATTACATATTCTACAAGCATTTCTTGTGTACGGCCCTAATGGCCTAGATAGCTGTCTGTAGGATCCTAATTTAAGAATAATCGTCTATGAGACAAAAGGAATTTATAAAAACTATTTAAATCTTTAATGTAGGTTATAAGTAGGTTCTTGGAGATTTCTTTTGGCAACATTGTTTTAAGTGTTTACTTTGCCATCAGCTTTAAGTTTTTCATCCTTAAGTTAAGAATTTTCGTATTTAGAAATAATTTCGTCATTCAAGTATACACAAAGGCTTGTTATTCCAATTTAATGCATATATTGAAAGAGTAAACTGAATAGAAACAGAAACTTTTTATTCAATATACATTATAAATAATACTTATTGAAAGTGTCTGTTTTGTTTAATTACTACTGGTTCGAAAAAAAGCCTCTGTTCTGGGAAGAACCAGCAAGAAACCCAGCGGGACTTTTTTTTAAAAATAACAGCTTACAATCATGTATGTTACAACACATTAACAACACAACAAATTAGAAATAGCTTCGTAGCGATCACCTCATTTCCAGGGGCTATTATCATCCATAAATTCTTTAATATTATAATAACCCTATAAAATGAAATGATGTATTAAAACTTGATCATAAATTATGACGTTAAAATGCTTTTATCAAAGAGTATCAAAAAGGTAGGTGAAAGTAATTAAAATTATGATATTATGTAATGTTTATTGATGTAATTATTATGTTCGTGTTAAGTGTATAAATGTCTTTGGTATTGATTGCCTGCAGATTTCAATATCGCTCTTCTTAAGTCTACCTTTAGTTACTTATGGGGTGTAGATGTTTAAGACAATGTTTGAAGAGTATACGTAGGTATAAATAAAGTATGTAAATAATCTGGCCTACAACTTTCTACACCTGTGTCGCTCACTGTACAGTTACCTATATTATATTTAAGGTTATCTTAAGGTCTTATTAAAGATCGTTTCGCTGTCACATTTAATCTTATCGTGTATAAACACACTATAACTAAACTCAAATGTTTCCTACAAACGCATGGAGCAAGATTTTGATCCATAGGCAACTTTCAGATAAAATTTCAAACAAATTGAAATAATCCATAATATATACTCTAAAATATATTTATAAATTATTACATTACTGCTGAGTACACTCAAAAATATATATGGTTTGGTAAAAACAGTCGAACCAACTATAAATTATAATTCCTTCTGAGAGTTATTACATAATAAAAACTTCAATTTTCGATGTTCACGTATTGATAACAATAATATGATAAAAAAAAACTAAACTGGCACCTAGCATAAACTATTCAATAACATATATATTGTCCCCCTTAACATAGATGTTGTCACCCTTATTCTATTAAAAAAAATACAACTATTTTAGAACTGTAATGTAGACGCTACAAAAATCCACTCTCAAATTTGTTCTGTTGCAATTTGAAATTTTTACCCATTGGACTGTAATACTTAACTTATTTTAATTATACGAATAAACATTGATAATTTTACAATGATTGCACGTAAATAAAACAGTGAACACATAAATAAATATTTTATCGGTTATTTAATTTCGGTTATAAAGCAGTAATTTCTGATGTTTAATCCTTAAAAATCGTGCTCCATGTATCACTAAGTGTATATTGATGTTTTAAAATATTTATATCACAGTCGCCGTACATATTTCTTTGTTAACAAAAATATTATACCCATTTAAGAGATGGCGGCGGATTAATGACACCATTATTTTGAAAGAAATGATATAATATGTACGGAATATGCACGGCCATAGAGAATAATTGATATCTTCGATGATCGCAGTTCTCCTCGAGATTTGGTAAATGCCACTAATATTCTTGCTCAGTTTTCTATTTCCGTCCCCTTATTTTGATGTAAGGTTATTTAAAAGTTTGATATTTCAGTAACAATGGAGGGCTAACAACAGATAAGTTATTATTTCAAATATCTAATACATGTGGTAACACAAACAATGTGCTTTCGATTTTTGAATTAGAGAAATGATGTACTTGACTGACTTTTGTTTTTTTTTTTATTAAGAAAGAAGGTTATAGAGTTAAAGATTTTTTTTAAATATAAAATCATTAATCACACTCAGCCCATTTGATCTTTTCACATTTTTAAAACAGCCATTAAGAATAATTTATTATTATAAATAATCTTCATTTTTTGTATGAATCTTATCAGCCACATCTAATCTAACATTTTTATATCTACTGCAATTAATTTAGATATGTCCTCTTTAGATATTCTTGGGCTGTGATGAAAAATGTAGGTAAAAATCGGTAGGTAATATTAAAATGAAGATTATGAAAAGTAGCGCGGTGCAAATAATTTTAATACTGGCAACAAAAATCACTTGTCGATGCTTCCTGTTTGATGTTGCGAAACTAGCATAGCACATCTGAAATTAAAAATTAATTTTTCATTATAATGTCAATTAATTCATTTGTAACATTACGATTCACTGTTCACTTATAGACGACATTATAATATATTATTTGGATTAATTATGTCTATAAAGTAAGATAATAATTCAATGTCGTAAAATGCTATATATGTATTCCCTATATTATACAAAAATTTTAAACATTTAGTAAAATAAGTATCTCTTACTAAATAGAGAATATATTCGTGTTTGAAATAACAGATTTAAATGGATTTAAACGACTTAATGTTTACTATCGTATATCAAATAATGTTGCTAGTGCAACGAGTATCTACTAAAGTAGAATAAAATCATAATTGTCAATGATTATATTGTATTTACTTTGTTCCATACTTTTATTCAATGGACTAAAAAGACTTGATG